ACTGCCAGAGATTACCAGTGAGTATGGGTACTTTGATCGTTTGAAAACGAGTTGATTAAACTTTCGTTTATAAAGAGTACATCGGTACATGTTTTATTTGACTTACGAGGGCTACACCATATAAATAAATGGGTGAAACAACTTCAACTTATGGCACTAAGCAGTAAAACAGAGGTCTGTGTCACTCTTCCCTGACTGTGAGACCGATGGTAGTCGACACAAGGAAACGCAGACTGAAGATTTCGGTCTCAAACCAGGACCCTCTTCAGCAGTGAGCGAGAATGACAGTTGTAGCTGCTTTTATGTCAAGTCAGGTGTCTTGGGAGAGAGAGGTATACGCATTTGGTAACAAGGAGGGTATACCTCTTTGTTTATCTAACCTTGTTAGATAATCACTCACCAAATATGATATCCACTGTCCTGAAGAGACATTAAAAGCTGATCATTTATAAAAATAAATCTACTTTTATAAATAATAATCCAGACATATCTTTCTTGTATAGATTTTGATTAAGGTGGAATCTGTTAGAGGGATAAAAAAAAAATCTAAATTCAACCAATAATAACACCCACTGTGATAACGATAAACGAGAAAGGATTAATGATAGCATAAGTTAAAAACATGAAAAGAAAATAAACAATAAAGTTGGTGATATGACAAAAACATGGAGCATCGACCCCGGCCAGGAGACTTGTAAAGCTGCAGCGGGAGGTAAGGAACCAGGACCCGACTCTTAAAGTGAGTTTGAGAATATGGCTCTTCAATGACCTGAGGACGCTACCTTTGGAATGACCCGAGGCCCCGACTCGTCGAATGACCCGAGACCCTGACTCATCGAATGACCCGAGGCCCCGACTCATCGAATGACCCGAGGCCCCGACTCATCGAATGACCCGAGGCCCTCGACTCATCGAATGACCCGACGACTCCGCTTTACAATAACCTGAGCGCGGACACCCACCCTGCCAGCCAGCCCACAAGGGAACTAACAAATATTCTCACGATCGAAAAAAATATAGAGAAAAAGGTTCCAGCGTGAGGAACCACTAAAGCCACCCGAACATGTCAATAATTCCACCTTGAGTGAGTCTCCCCTCAACTCGTCCCGCTTGTGTTGACTCTCGCTGGCGTGATGGAACACTCTGCCACTTTGTCCGGATAGTCTAAACATTATGATGAATATGTGCCCGCTTAATCCCTAATATACACATTTATAAACCTATTCATCACGTGTCGGCCAAAATGGTGCTCATTAATTATATTTTCTTCCCTAATTACCGTGACCCCATTATGGAGAGATTAAACTGCTCGCTGGAAACGGGTTTTGTGGATATTTTGTGATTTGAGCGAAAAATAGGCATTAATTATACATATATATAATTAATTTTAAAATCTACATTAATTTGCTTCTATGTATGAAGCACAAACTGAATATGTGCGCAGCACTTGCCTCAAACACTTGCACAATCCAGAGCTTTCCGTACTGGCTTTAATACACCTGCTCTATATATTTTTTATTTATATATACAGAGAGTTCTTACATTCTTGTAAAGCCACTAGTACGCATAGCGTTTCGGGCAAGTCTTTAATCTTAATTTTCCCCGGAATTTGACCCGCCAAATCGTTTAACAACCAGGTACCCATTCACTGCTGGGTGAACAGAGGCTACAGTTAAGGATTGGTGCCTAGTCAATCCTCCCCGGCCACATTCTCTACACTAAACAGAAACATTCGTACCATTATTTTATGTTATGATTTGATTACGAAAACCCCTCCATTATTTTCTAGATACAAAATAAGGTCATTGTAATAGACAATTCTCGTCCCAAGTGTTTACCTTGCGAGTCCCTTCAGCACTTAAAGAGTCCTGAGTCCACCACCTAAGAGCACCGTCAGAGCGCCGAGTTAAGCCCGCTTCACAACAGGACCCAAAGAGCGAGTTTCTTTACCAATCAGCTGGACGGGCTGTAAGATGACGTCACTTGAGTGCTTCGCTCATTGGTTGAGAAAGGGGAAATTCCAGCAATCACAGCCACCTTTCATGCTACTCCCTCACAGACGTCATGCGATACGATGGCGGGAATGATGTCAAGAGTCCCATCATGTGCATTTTTTTCCTCGTCATAAAAACGATAAACAT